TCTATAGCTTAGAATACAGAACAGAAATCTGCCCCCAAACTGGACAATGATGATTTGCGTTAGGCAAAGATGGTGGTATCCGCGAAATAGTCCATTGCAGGATGGGGGAAATTGGTCTTGTCGGAGGTTTGCACTCTCCGAGTGCTTCTAGTTACTGTTGTTACTACTGTTTGGGGTAATAAGGTGGATTAGAGATGGAATTATGACATTGCGCCTCATGCAAGAACATGTTCGTTTTCTTATCCTAAATTTCTCTTACTTTTGTTCGTACAAAGGGTTCGCACCAACATGCCACGTCAGATTGAACAAACTCTTCTATCTTCAGGAAAAGTGTGTGTAATGGAACTAATACTTTTATGTTTAAGCAAGTAATTCATGACATCCTTTAATGACCTAGATTTTCATGACATGCTGTTCATCTGCAGATAGAACGATTAAAGTCAGAACAAGATTTGCTAACAACAGTCATTCTTACATATCACTTGTGTTTATTTTTGTGTTTTCCATTGACCTTGTATCAAATCTTGCTAAGATGACATAATGGTGTTTGTTAATATATATATGTGGCCTCTCGAGAGACAGTGAGTAGTGTGGAGTGGACAGTGTTCAACAGTGGAAACAGGAGTGTGGAGAGACAGTGACAGAGAGAAGCAGAGGTACAGAGACAGGCCAGGTTGTTCTCTGTGTTTCCTGTTGTTGCAATAAAACTCAGCTGATAATCTCACGGAGTACCTTCATTCTTGGACAGATTCAGTGTCTTTATTAAATAAATATTGCCATAACAGTTTGGCGTTGTCGCAGAGACTACTAGGAGATCGACGAACCAAGGCCACATGGTGGACTGATATGAGTGAGCAAGGACTGGGCTGCTCAGGACCGTGACTCCAGCTGGATGAAAATAACCTTTTTATGGTAAATTGTTTTAACAACAGAGRTACGCTGGTGATGATTGTGATGGATGATCTTGAATAAGCAAAGAACAATGAATTTTTATTTTTGGCTGTTGAAGAACCTGACAAGATTTTTGAAACATCATCTGCTGAGAGTGAGTACAGAAAAGTTTCATGATGCCTCCTTACTTTTCCAAAGAGGATTTCTGCCAGCTTCTCCTAAAGGTTAAGATGAGAGATTAACATGGAGAGGAGATGGAAGATGCTTCTGAGTGTAAAACTGTATGGAACTCTCTTTGTGCCAGATCAAAAAATCTCTCAGGAAGGATTCAGCTCTTAGATGACATTGAATGACCAGAATTACAGAGAAATGCTTTTTCTCCTCCAGCAAGGAGAAGAAAGCAACAGGCTGTAATCAAAACACCTGATAACAGCCAGAGAAATGAAGCAGTCTTTCTTCAAAACAGATTCACACCACTGGAAGAAACTGGAGAGTCTGATCAAAGTTCCCTATCTGATCTCAGTGAGGGATCTGAGACCAGATCCAGATCCAACTCAAAGCCAAAGCAAGTCCAAAGAGCCAAAGAAGTTCAAAAATCAAGAAATGCTGATCATTACAGATAAAATGATGAATGAGATCAGAGG